ATTAATATGGCTTTACTTTTATACTTTGTTTTCATACTTTCTGCAAGATGGTTAAGAAAAAGATAAAGCAAGACCTATATACCAAGAAATGCAACTTTTGTATCTGATAAGGTCAGGCTAGTACCCTCAGGATTTTTCCTGAAACCCTGTACCACAGTTTGTAGATCCTTTGTCAGTGTCAGCCATGTGGATGAGTCACAGCCATTCCTCAACCAATTTGCTCTCTGTGAAAACCTAAGAGAATGTTTTCTCTCCAGGTGACTTTCCTTAGGCATACTCTACATTGTCCATCACTTTCCTCTGTGGCTCCATAATCTCCTTTATCAGCAAATTTGGGACATCACTGAGTTACAGGATGTTGAAGTGCAGGTTCTCTTATGTCCTGAGTCCTTACTGACCTTCAGTGACTTGGAACAATACGTTGGCTGTCCTCGCAGACCTTCTTTGTCTAATTTTTGGTCTGCAAACTTAACTTGTTAACCCTCCAGAAGAGAAGCTTAATGATATTAATACACTATAACATAGGCAGGTGAGGTTAACCTCACTATCTGTCTGAATATCAAACATCTTAGTTATAACATGGAACAGGTATTTTCCATTTAGTATTGATATGTTAAACTTTAATTTCCTACAGAATGTGAAGAAAAAAATAAGTAAAAAATAAAAAATATTTTAAAAAAGGAATAAACATTTAAGTATATTTACAAATAAATTTAGAAATCTAACCATATACAGCATTGTAGCAGGACTGTCCTGTGACATTTTTTTTCTTTTGTCTCTTGTTTTCATTACACCCTTTTTTTTAAACAAACATTTACTTGAGAAACAGTATAGCAGTAATTGATGTGACTTTAGAAGCAGTATATATTTAGAAGGCCAGAATGACAGGCATTCTAAGCATGGCCCTAGTATAACACATTGGTATCTTCAGTGCAGTTGTTTACTTCACATGTATCAGCATACATATTTTGTCAGGGTGAGAATCTACCAATAAACTGAAAGTTTCAAAAACCTGGTGGATTCTCAGGATCATTGCCTTAACCATCTTGTGCATATAAATATATGGTTTTGTGCCTGTCATGTTTCCAAGCTTTTTTCCTTGCCCCCTCTTTGTTGTTTAATCCTTAAGTTCTAAACTGCTCAAGAAATTAGTAATAAAAGGGAACTTCTCTTCTTGATAAAAATGTGTAAAAACAATCCACAGATAAAAAATATTCTCAGCAGGCCGGGGAGATGGCTCAGTGGAATAAGCGCTTCTCTGGCAAGTGCAAGGACCTGAGTTCAATCCCCGGTTCTGCCAAAAAAAAAAAAAATATTCTCAGCAATTGAAAACTCAATATTACTCCCTAAATTCAAGAACAAGACCAAGGTCTCTCTTTTTACCATTTTTATTCAACACTGCACTAGAATTTCAAACCAGGTAAGATGAAATGCAAGACATCTAAGTTGGAAAGAAGTACAATTATATTTACTTTTAGATGAAACAATCTTTTTTTTTTTTTTCTGGTCCCCATAGTCTTTTTTTTCCCAGATTAAAGTGGTTGCTTTCTTTTTCTTTTTTCCCCCATAGTTTTATTGAGAAACAAATAGCAATGAGACAGTTTCAAATTAAATTGGTAGGACAGTTTCAATAATTAACACATTGCATACATTCTTCCTAGTAGTTAATTGCTGTACAAGATGCAGACATGATATCCTATTTACAAACACCATTAGAGCAAATCTCTCTATTCATTAAGAGAATGTAACTATATATCTATCCTAACCACTTTGAATACACACATACAAAATGGACATTCATCTGTATCCCCTTCTTTTGTTAAGTTCCGTTCTTGATGAAACAATTTTATATATACATATTTTCAAGTAACCCACAAGACAACTAGGAGATGTAATTAACAAATTTAGAAGAGTTGCAAAATACAGAAGCAGAATCCTAAAACAGTGCTACAGTATTTCTACAATGTAGCATTCAATTATATCTTCTTAGTCTTCTACTTTACAGCATATCTGAGAAGTGTATATTTATGAATAATCATAAATGAATGATAAACTGTCATTTGTGTTTCCATAGTGTTCTATAATTACTTCTCAAGTTCACCCTTACCAAAAGTCGTTGCTTAGGCCATCTAACAGGGTTTTAACTAGTTTGTATATTTGGTATATTCTCCATGAAGATGCTCCTATTTTCTCCTTATACTTCTTTCCCTTACTCTTTTTTTTTTTGTGGTACCAGGGATCAAACTCAGGACCTTGAGCTTGCCAGGCAGCAGCCTATGCCACTGAGCTGTATCTCTGATCCTCCCTTACTCTTTTCCTTGTTCTCCCACACATATCTTCTCAAATCCTTTTTCTCTCTGCCTTTCTTTGTTGGTATAAATATAATACTATCAAAAAACTACTTTATTTTCTTTACCTTCAGCTTAGTGGTGTTCACATCGTGTTCTTCTTCTTACTGGGACTCTTCAGCCTTCTGATGAAGACTCTTTGGCCTTCATTGTAGATTCTTCAGCCTTTTGTGGCAGACCTATTGGCCTTCTGCTGGACTTGCAGCGACACTGAGTGAGCTTCAGACCTTAGATTGCACACTTCAGTCAGCTGTGTGCATACTCTTCTGCCCACTTCCTGTCGTTGACCATGGAAACTTTCAACTTAGATTTTAGCAACTCTGAAATTGTAACTCTTTGAGATAGACTAAATGGACTGCATAAAAAGAAATGTGTCTGAGTCTTCTGGGAACCAGGATAAGAAGGTTATGAATATATCCTGTGTCCCTGAAAACCCTCAGGCACTCATAGGCAGAGTATTTACAAAGTGCCTGGGTCATGGGTTCCCATATGAGTGTGATGTGAGAAGGTGAACCCTGAGCTGAAGAGTCACTGCTTATGTGACTTAGGAGGTACATTACTCTCCTGGCTCCTCAATTATCTCTTTGCTTCCTGGGAACCATGACTTGAGCAAATTTCCTCCATCATGCCTTTCCACACTGCCTTCTTGCCACAGGGCTGTGGATTAAAATCATAATCAACAGCAATTCCTCTTTTTCATTAAGAGTGTCAAATTTCATGTCCCAATAATGAGAAAACAACTTAGTACCAAGATAGCTACTAGCATGCAGATGACCATTATAAATTATTCCATCTCTCCCAAGGAGACAGCCATTGAGACTCTTCTGATTCTGATACTGTAAGCCTACCTCATAAATCACCATATGTATCATTGTTGAGTCTGTTCCTCTAAGTCTGCTTCATATCCCTTGTATAACCACAAGTACAATTTATATTGAAGCTATTTCTCTACGTAACACTACTTCATACACATGTATTTGTCTTTTTCCATATTCTAAAGGAAGTAATTTAATTTTTCCCTATTAGTAGGATGTAAGCTCTGGGTCATATACTACCTTAATTGTGGTTAGGATTGATGACTATAGACCAAATTTGTTCCAGGATTTTAAAATGAGTTGTTGAATGTTATCATCAACTCTCTCAAATGTATACAAACAGAACAAGATTTGCATTATATGAATTTATGGAATATGACAATTTTCATGGTTTTATTCAAGCTACCAATAAGACCACATTCAACATGGAATTGGGAAGATATGTGCAGAGTGTGATGTTTTTAGATGATCTGGTTTCATGAGGCTGGTATTTATAATTTTCTTTTCTTTTGGATTCATTCCTGACATTGTTTCTGAAAGCAATCCTGGGTTTTCCATCAACCATGCCCAACTTGTATGAACCTCATACGTTTATTCGTTAGCACTTTTCTCCAAATGATTACCATTATAGGGGAATGAATAGTAATTTATATTTATCCATGCAGATAAGTTATAGAGATAGAAATATGAAAGTGCCATTGTTTTGTTTAATGGGATAGACTGTGTTACAAAGACTTATTTGTAATTTTTCCATTGATTACTCACTAACATTTTGGAAAGTATTATGAAATGAATGAGAAGAAATATTTCTGTATATATTACTCAGCATTTACATTTTGGCAATCATTAACTGTTTCCAGTAGTCTGTTTCTACCACAATGATACTGTGACTCTTGGAAAGCAAAAATAAATTAGAAAATACAATAACTCAATGGAATGATTATTAATGATCTGAGTGGAACCAGAGACCCTGAGCTTACAAACCTTGAAACAAATGTTAATTTCTGATGCTCATTTCCATCTACTTATCAGCCTGATGTCCTTTCAGAGCAGTAACCCTTTTTGCTGAGCCCTGAGAATGGGGTAGCATCAGGAATATAGTTCAGTGGCACAAGCATGGGCCTGGCAAGCACAAAGAGTATAAAAAAAAAAGACCCTTAGCAAGGAAGGATGGTGTGGCTTTCCCACCTTGCCTTCATTTCCTGACCTCCACGCATTTTCCTTGGGACTGTGTCACATGTGCAGTGGGTTAGTCAGAATCATCAAAGACAGTGACATAAAAAAATTAGTATTGGGGCTGGTGAGATGGCTCAGTGGTCTAAAGCACCTACTTGGAATAAGCTTGGCTAAAGCACAGGGACTGCGGTTTGATCCTCCAGCACCACATGCCAGCCCGCCCTGCCCCCAGGTGGGCTGAACTGGCCACACACACACACACACACACACACACACAATAAATAAATGTAAAAAAAATTAAAAAAGAAATGCTATATAAAAAAATTAGTATTCATCGTAATGAGTAGCTTCTAGGTATGAGGCTCAGGTTCATTTAAGTCCAACCCTTGTAAGTGGATACAGGATCCATATATAATAGATACTTTTCTCAGGAGAAAACTATTGAAGAGCTCCCCTAACAGGACCAGTACAGGAGAATCGCTTAAAGACTCCTGATAAGGAGCAGAAACTACTCTGGAAGAACAAACTGAAGCCTGACATAGGACAGATGGTTTATTGAGCACTCAATCAAAGTCCCAGGGAGGAGATTAGCTTATGCTGCTGCTACTGTCATAAGGCATTTGGAGATACTCTCCATATCACCCCCCCAATCTAGCATGCTTTAGAAGCACTTTCTATGCACCACAGAACTCCCAAACTCCTTGAACTCTGCAGAGGTGACACACATTTGCTGGAAACTGCTGAGGGTGGCCATGGCAGAGGCACCAATCCATGTAGAGAAACATCTGTGAGGTGAAGCTATTATCTTGATGGAGGTCCCTGGAGAAGTCACATGTTCCAAGTCCTTTGCAAGCCTTTCAGTCAGCCCACGGAACAATGTGGAACCCCCAGATAGCACGATATTTCCAAATAGGCTCTTTTGGATGTCTGTGTCACATTTTAGGATGCTATTGAAGACCATTTTTGAGAGTCCAGGGTCTTGGATGTCCAGAATTGCAGGGGTAAACAGCACCTCAGGCACCTGGAGCAGTCGGTCTTCTATGTAGATAACATTGCCATCTGGCAGTCTGTACTTCGTTAGGACCTTCTTCTGTCTCCGGCGTGGCTTTTTCTTGCGCCCTAAGGTGACATAGCACAGCTTCTCTTTGAGTGTTTCCCCCACAGACTTGTTAAGGATGCAAGGATAGGTACATCCTTCGGCCAGGAGGAGAAGTATGAGGTTCTCTGTAATGTCCCTCCCTGCCACAGAAAGCTTGCTGATCGAATGAGGCAGAGAATAACCTTCATATATAGGGACAGCGCAAGTGACGCCTTCCCCACTGTCCAACACCAAGCCTGTGATGGAGCCGCAGGCATAGAGTGCTGGCACTGCATGGTTGCACAGATGCAGGGCTGGCACGCGAAATGTCTCGAACAGGATTTCGGCGGTTTTCTCACGTACCTCTCTTGGGTTCAAGGAGGGTTCGGTCATCAGTACTGGTTGGTCACTGGATTTAACTCTCAATAACCGCTGGAAAAGATGTTTCCAAAGTTTCTCCATGTCATCCCATCTTGTTATTATTCCACGCTCAACAGGATAGTGCAAATACAGGACTTCACGCTTGTACTGGACTTCCTGTCCAACAAAGTATTTCTTCCGGCTAGATGGTATGTTGAATTTAGGGTGACCCACAACAGAGTCAAAAACATGTCTTGGAACAACATGGATACACAGGCCCACTTTGCAGAGGCCGGAACCATTGTCAATAATCACTGCTGGGCGTTCCAGTTCATCTGGAATGGACATGTCTGCAGTAGGTCTCTTGTAGTTCACAAAATAAAGAAGACTTGGACCACTCTTCACGACAACAGGTCCCTCTGGAATAATAAAGGTCACAGGATTCTTATGTTGTCAAGCTGTTCCCCTGGTGAAGCTAGGAGGCTAGCCCCAATCCAACAGAACTGTCCTCAGGCCATGAATGCTGTCTTCTTTCTGGAGGCCCAGGGACTGCTGAGGCTATTTTCTAGCTAGTTGCCTTCTGTGTCACAATGTAACCAAGGCCACAATTGGCCCTTAGTTAGCATCACCATGGCGGGGCCCCTGAGCCAGCAGCACTGTCTATTTAGTGAGACAGGAAGCAGGGACAGGCAAATACACCTGTATACAGCTATGACTGGTCTTGGGAACCAAAGTAGAAGCCTGGTTTAGACTAAATGGAGGCATTCACACCATGAGCTGTCCAAGAGAATTGCCTTCTATGCTCTCCTGAACTGTTGCATGTCCATGAGAGAGAGAGAGAAAAAGAGGAAAAAAAGCACTTTCTTTGGCCCAGGAGTAGAGCAAAGCATGAGGCACAGGTTCAGATTTAATAGGAATGGCCGAAGTTCACTCAACATACTCTGCCTTTTATGTCTTTTAAATTTGTTGTCTTATTGCTGTTTAATGAGATAAATGACTACCCCTGATATAGGTGCTTCTAGGTAGCTTCTGCACTTCCACCCTGTTTTTTCCAGTCTGTTTTGTTACAGCCTCTTAGGTTATATCCTTTAATTTGTACCTTCTTAGGTTAATTTTGTGAACCAGGATGATAAAGTAATCCTAATGATAATAGTTTTGCCTTTGTAATAGCTTATTAAATATATCTAGGTTGTCTATTAAAATAAAAATAAAAAGTGAAATCAGAAATAATTTCTCAGATAACTACAGAGACCATGACCATAAGAAAAGACATGATTAGTTGCTTTTGAGAAGATACATATAAATAATAAAGGAGCTTAAGGAAGTGAGGAAATCATGATATGATTCCATTTCTTTCCTCAGTATAGGGAAAAAATGGAATCCATGGAATAGATTTAAACAGAAGAGATTTAAAAAGCCATTGAAAGTCTGCGCAACACAGTGAGTCAATGTGATGACCAAAAAACAGATATAAAAGACAGTATTGCAAATCCTGCATTGCCCAGGATGACAGTGCAGTGACAGGAGTATAGGTTCATGTTGTTTCAGGCTTCCATTGTTGAGATGGTGGTGCGGTGAGAGGAGTGCATGTCCATGCTCCATCTTTCCTCCATTGTCCCTGGGATTGAGATGCAGTCATCAGGAGTGTAGGTTCATGTTCCTTACTTCCTCCATTGCTGCAGGACTGCAGTGACAGTGAGAGGAGTATAAGTCTCAGTTCCTTTCTTTTTCCATTGTCACTTGGATGGCAGTGCCAGAAAGAGGAATGTATGTCTTCAGTCCTTTCCTCCATTGCCCCAGGATTGTAGTGCTGGCAAGATGGGTTTAAATTTATGCTCTACCCTTCCCCACGCCCTGGTAACATGACAGTGAGAGGAGATATCCAGAAGAACAGACACTTCCTAGGAAAACCTTAACATCAGTGATAAGATTATGTAACATTAAAAATCTGAAAGCATCAACTTAAAGACGAAATAAAATAGAAAATGGCAGGACAAAGAAGCAAAATGCAATCTCAAATGTGAGCCCACCCAGGAAAAGTCCAGAACACAAAGAGAGAGAGAGAGAGAGTAAACCAGAAGCCAACAGTGAGCTAGCTAAAGACAGGCCAAAAGCCATTAAAAGTCTCTTCACAGGCTCCCTGGGACCTGCTGTGCCAGCCCTGCCCCCTGGGTGCACTGAGTTGACAACTGAGACTGGGCGTGGTCACCCGGGCCTGTAATTCCAGCTCTTGGGAAGCTGTAAACAGGTGGATCACTACTTTTAGTAGTGAGACCCTGAACACTCTGTAGACCCTTCCCTAAAAGACAAAGAAAAATCTCTTCACCAAAATAATGGTAGAAAACTTCCCTAGGCTGGGGAGATAGCTCAGCAGCTTAAACATCTGCCTGGCAAATACAAGGTCCAGAGTTTAATTCCTGGTACCAAAAAAGCAAAGGAAAGCAAAAGAAAGAAAACTTCCCAAAATGGATAAAGAATTTGACAGAAATAAATGAAACACATAGAACTCCAAATAATCATGAAAAAAATAAATCTACACCAATAATATAATAATCAAGATTCCAGAACATAAGCACAAGAACAGAATATTGAAAGCAGCTTGAGAAAAACAACACGTCACCTATAAAAGAAAGCCCACCAGAAACACAGCAAATTTTGCAACACAAACTGTCAAATAAAGAAGAGCTTGGAGTGAAGTATTTCAAGCCCTAATAGAAAAAAAACTTCAACCCAGATTGATTTACTCTGCAAACCTATCTTTTCTATTTTTGTGGCTCACTCAGCCCACCCTGGGGGCGGGGTTGGCATGACATGTGGTGCGGTGATTGAACTGTGGTCCATGAGCTTGTCTAAGTTTGTCTAAGCAGGCATTTTAACCACTGAGCTATCTTGCCGGCCCTAAAAAACTATATTTGAAAACTGATGGAGGAATAAGATACTTCCATGACAAAGAACAACTGAGGAAATTTATGGACACCATAAAAACTCTACAGAATGCTCTGAAAGGCAATAGAAAGAGATAATGAAGACCACAAACACAGGAACACCAATAGGAAGAAGCTTCCAGGCAGGATACACAATTAAGCAGAACAGAAAGACAGTGAATAAACAATAGGGAACCAACATGAAAAATAAAATCAACATATACCAGCTATAACAATTAACAGAAATGGTCTCAACTCACCAATCAAATGAAACAAACTAGTAGAATGGATCAAGAAGCAAGATCAAATAATAAGTTATAGTCAAGAAACATTTTTGAGCCAAAAAGAAATTCAGAGATTAAAAGTCAAAGGATAGAAAACAATTTACCATGCCACAGGAACTGAGAGAAAAGCAGGGGTAGCTACTCTATTTGAAACCAATGCAAACTTTAAGCCAAAAATGATCAAAAGAGACAGGGAACATCACTACATACTCAGTAAGGGAAAACTCCAAGAATATATAACAATCATAAATATTTATGCACCAGGTACAGGTTCACAAAATTACATAAAACAAATATTAACAGACATGAAAAACCAAATAAGCACTAACACAACTGTAGTGGGGGACCACAATACTACGTTCTCCCAAATTGCTAGATCAACTAGATAAAAAATTTGCAAATAAAGTAGAATTAAACCAAGTTTGTGAATAAATGGACTTGGTAGGTGTCTACAGAATATTCCATTAAAAATATCAGCATTCACATTCTTCTCAGCTGAACATGGGATGTTCTACAAAATTGATCATATATTACCTGACAAAACATGTTTAAGTAAATGTAGAGGTATTAAAGTTATCTCATGCATAGTATCTCACAACAAGGCAATGAAATTGGAAATCCATAACAAAAGAAACAACAAAAAATATATTAACTCATGGAAATTGAACAACACCCTTCTGAACCACCATTGGATCATAAAAGAAATTAAAGACAAAATTAAACTGTATATACAATTAAACACTAATAATCATAAAACATACTGACATTTATGGGCTGCAATGAAAGCAGTCCTACGAGGGATATAGCAATGAATTCACACATCAGGAAAACAAAACGAGCTCAAATAAACTACTTAATTTTGAACCTCAAGCTTCTAGAAAAAGAACAAATAAAATTGAAAGCTCATATGAAGGAGGAAGTTAGACAGATCAGAGCAGAGATTAATTCAATAGAGACACAAAGAATCAATGAGTCATTTTGTTAAGTGAAATTCTGTATCACTTGTTATTTTTTGTTTTAATTCTAATTTTTATTCTCTTTACAAAATAAAAAAAAGAAATGCTTGAATCAAAAAGTTGGCCCCTTGAAAGAATAAATAAAATTAAAAACCATTAGCCAACCTCAAGAAAATAAGAAAACAAAATATAAAACCCAGTAATTAGGAATTTTAAAAAGTAATAATGAATCTCAGAAATCCAGGCAATCACCAATACTTATGTTAGGAAAACATATTCTAATAAGATGGAAAACACAGAAGAAATGGAGAGATTCCTAGACACAATTGAATTGCCAAAAGTAAATCCAGAAGATATAAAGATTGTAAATAAAGTAATATTAGCCAATCAAATTAAAAATGTAATTAAAATTACCAAAAAAAGAAAGCTCTGGCCCTGAATGATTCAATGTTGAGTTCTACAAAATATTACAGAAGTAATGCCACTAATGCTGAAATTCCTTAAAGAAACAGAAAGAAAAGCAGTACTTCCAAAGATATTCCTGGAAGCAAGTATTACCCTGAAGCCAAAAAAACCAGAGAAGAGCCCTACTATCTTGGTTACTTTTCTCTCATTGCTAAGACAAAATACCTGAAGCCCAGAATTAAGTAAGGATAGGTTTATTAAGCTCACAGTTTGTCAAGGTTTCAGTCCATACTTGGCTGGCTCCAAGGCAGAGTGGCACATGGGAGATGGACAACAGTCCTCAGGGCCAGAAAACTGCAAAAGCAACAAGAGCAAAAAAAGAGAGGAGGAGCAAAAGCAAGCCTTTCTCTCCCTTATATTGCATTCAGGGTATTTACCTAAAGGTGGGCTCAGCACTCATGACCACAATCCCAGAATTGAACCATGAATCTCTAAAAAAAGCTCTAGAATCCTACGCCGAGTACCTGAGGCTTTGGTGGGATATCTAGAAACACAACAGAACACCCAACATGAAAGAAAATTACAGGCCAATCTCCCTAATGAACTTTGATACAAAAACCTTTAATAAGATACTGGAAAACAGAATGCAGCAAATCATCAAGAACATTACACACCATGACCAAATAGGATTCACCCCAGGGATGGTCCAACATATGAAAATAACCAAAGACCAAAATCACATGATCATATCTATAGATGCAGAAAATCATTTGACATAA